CCCCAAAACCCCAAAACCCCAAAACCCCAAAACCCCAAAACCCCAATCCAGTTCTTAGATATTGAAAGTATTGGTCCTAAATTTATTTATTAAATTAAATGTTTGGCTTCTTGAAACCCAGACACTATGGGATCGCAGCGTTGTCACTCTACGGGTGTTACAAGCTATCCCACCAGAGTAGTCTCACGAAGAGATATCCATGCCTAGACCTCAGTAGGAGCAAGGCTCTTCCTCAAAGTATGAGATTCCCGTCAGAGTAAGTTTTCTTTGAAATAAATTTACTGGGAAGAGTGTTAATTCTCTAGATTCTTCACTACAAGATTTATCAATCTTGGCAAAGGAGTGACTACAGAATGTGAAGAGAGTAAAAGCAAGACTCTGGGAGAGTTCAAACTGTCAGATCTGAGGGATAAGTACAAAAATTGGAAAAAGTAAGGAATTTGGTAATGAAATTTAGAAAAAGAGAAGAAAAGAAGATTGTGAGGTATAGTTTTTAGAAAATTAGGTAGAATTGAGTTGGAAGTATAGATAGAAGGTTTTAGAGGTGTTAGAAATGGATTTTGGACTTAGGGCTTGGTATAGGGATGAAGAATATCCGAATAAAATTAGGATAATGATGTCAGAGATTATGATTATGGGATTGGGATGTACAGACAGCAAAATGTTGTGAAAGAAGCAAGAAGAAATGCAAGATAGTTTAGAATCTATAAAATTTCAGAAAAAGCTAGGTCAATGATACAAAGGTATGAGACTCCCTTCCGTCTTATCCCTATCACCTTCAAAGCCTCATTTTACCTTCTATAGAGTTGGTCTTTCTCCTAAAAGGAATTACCTATGATGATTCTATCGAGTAACTCCCAAAATAACCCATCTAGGAAACTTGCAGCAGTTATGGAAAGCTCTGATGAGGACTTAGACCACTTTTTCCTTAACATAAAACTCTTCCTCGAAGGTGCTCACAAAGAATTTGTAAAAATCGCAGAGAAATACAAAGATGAGATGCCATCAAAATTACACAAACAGATTTGTTACACTGATGAAGAAGTATATAGATTCCTGTCCTCTCTAAGCGAGTTCTACACGGAAAATGAACTCAAAGAGAGAATCTCTACTTGGGATTATTTCGAGAGCCATCTGAAGGAGTTCGCTGAGTCTCCAGCTACCAGCCTTAAGAGGTCATATGCCTTAAAGTATTTCCATAACAAATCAGAGAGAGCAAAGTTAGATGCGAATCCCAACTATTCCCCACAATTCTTTGAAGGGTAAGCTCGATACAAAACAATGGTATAGACCATACATTGCTCCAATGAACTTGGACCAAGGAGACTTTGACATCCTGCTTCTTCATGGCAATGCTAGCCACTGAATCAAGTGATGGTCCATCTTGGACACAGAAGATCAGCATGATCCAGATATTTGGATCAGAAGCAATCTCATCAAAGTAAGTCCTACCAACCTTTTGATTTCTCAGCATGATTTTTTGTAGGACTTAAAGAAAGCAGGAAAAGAGCCTAGGTAATCTCTCAATAACTCCTGGTTGTAACCTCATCTCTAGAGTGATCCATGGAACATATGAGACGTTCCAGCAGATCCATGAATACACCAGCAAGAACATCCCAGAACTTGACCTATTCGAGCTTGGTGAAAAACTGAAAGAAGCACTTGCAAAAATCGGGGTTGGCAAAAGACCACTCATCATCCTTGGTTACTCAATGGGAGGAATTCTTTGCAAGACTTTACTAAACATCTCCCCTGAAATTGCTGAGAATACAAAAGGGATCATCTTCTTTGCATGCCCTCACTTCGGAAGTGACGTCCGTGACGACACTCATCAACAGCTTGGCGAAATCATCAGTGGGATGAATAGATTTATGAACCAGAACTGTATCGATGATGAAGAGTTCGTCACAACAGTGTTGGATAACCTTAAAATCTCTAAGCCTGCCCACTTCCTGATCAGCCCAGATAGAAAAGCGAACCTCAGTGTGATCAACAACAAATTTAATAAGTATGGGATTAACTGTATGAGCATCATTGAAGGAAAGAAGGTAAATCCCAGTTTACGATCTCTAGGTATACTTCCCCAAGACGGACCACCACTACTACGTTGTCAAGCCTGAATCAGCATATTGGCCCGGAAGTATCAAATTGACAATGGATGTAACTTTAATTTCAAATACTTATAGAACAAAAACCATTTCCAGATCACCAGAATGAGCGAAAACAACAGCGAACTAGACGACTGCTATAAGACCATCTTCAAATTCATCAAAAATAACCTATAAAACCCAAATCTCAATTCTAAAAAATCTAAAAGGGGTTTTGGGGTTTTGGGGTTTTGGGGTTTTGGGGTTTTG